TCAAGGGTGTGGGGGAGGGCAGGGTTTTCAAGAGCTTTAACTGCAGCAGCTAACCAGAATGCCCACACCTTTCCCTCCCTGCCAGCTCTCCAAATCCTACCCCTACCTCAGCACAAGGCTGACCTCCTCCAGGAAGCCCTCCTTGATAATCCCAGCCCATTAGGGGTTTGTTCTTCCATATAACTTAAAACCCTCCAGAGGTTCCCCCAAGCTTCAAGATCAAGTTCGGTTTCATTAGCTTGGCATGTAAGGCCTTTTGTAATTTGGTCTCTTCTTGTCTCTGTGGCCTTTTCTCATACTCCCCAGCTGTGCCAGACAACCTTCAGCCCCACCTCCTTCCCTTCCATCGGGGCCTCAGAGCCTTGGACTGTACCCTTGCCTTGGCTGAGTTTTCCTTCTTTATGTGGCTACATGGTATTTATTCCCCAAACTTAGTCCAGGCCTCTTCTGGGCGTGGGGGGTGGGGAGTGGATAGTTTGAGGCCCCAGGCTGGGTGAGGTGTTCCTGCCTGGGTTCCCCAGAGCACTCATGACATTATAACGGTTACTCACTGCCTCCAGCCTCTCCCCTCTCCCGGAAGCTTTGTTTATCTCTGTGTTTCTACCTTGCCCAGAGAGGGGCTCTTTTTTTCCAGTGCCGATGCCTGGGTTCTCATGCTCATGGATTTGGATTTAATTGGTCTGAGAGGTGGCTTGGGCATGGGGTTGGGAAGCATGGGTTGAAAAGTTCCCCAGGTGGTCTAGCTTGCAGCCAAGGTTGAGTATACCACAGTAATTTATAGCACCCGACTTGGGACTTCCCCAGCAACTCAGAGGAGCTGCCCTTCAGGTCTCCCCTGGGGATCTTGGCCTTGAACTTATAACCTCACTGCACTTACCAAAAGTTGTGTTGAAAGAAACACTATTCATCTATTTATCTGCATCAGTTGTGCCCAGTAGCTATACAGTCACCTGCAGGCCCAAGTCAGGCCTCCAGGGCCTATTAAGAAAGACCTTTTGCATCCCAATCACCTGTTAGAAAGATGCCTCTCTGAGCCTCATCCCAAATCCAAGGAATCAGACCCGAGACCCCACCCAGTAATCAAGTTACTGGCTGATTCTGATACACACTGATTTGCCACACCTCAAAGTATCCTGAAAAGGGGCCACGAGCTCCCATTACTTGCAAAGCCAGGTAGTGAAATTAGGAACAAAAAGGCCTTTGGAGAACCGCGGACAGACTGAGAAACTACTCAGCTCCGGCCAGTCTTTGTCTTTAGGGCCTCATGTTGTCAAATTCACCAAAATCGGGACTTTATGTGAAATCTGTTTAAAGCTGACAACTAAATCAGACAATTTAAATACACTTCTCAGGCCCAGAGAAGCTTACCTCGGGACTGCATTTAGCTAGTGGACTGTCAGTTTGCTATCAATGTTTCCTACAAACCCTGAACGTGGATTAAGCTACAGAGTGGCACGCTGGCCCTGCCTTGTCACTCTCTCTCCTCCGAGCTGTTTTTCTGCTTTGGGACTTGGGCCAGCACGGAGCGGGGTCCAGGAAACGGCCCCTGAGACTTGTGCAGTACGTGCAATAAGCGTGCTGCTTGGGGACATCGCTCCTTATGTTCCACAGTGCTCTCATCATGCCAGCTCACTAGGAAGAAGCCTCTCTGGTCTCGGGGCCTAGGAGAGTCATGTTTCACCTCAGCAACTGGTTTGTTAGTGTCTTATGGACCCTGAACTGCATGGGACCTGGTTTTGCCTGCTAGAAAGCTCAGAGGACAATCTGTGGCCTGTCTCCGTAACACGTAGGACCTCGGGGTCTGCATCTTGTGTACCTGTCTCATTCCTGGCTTCTTCTGACCTCTCTAACTTCTGTTTTCCATTTTTCACCCATCATATGACCATGTCTTTAAATTGTTATTCTCTCGTATATTAAGTAAAGAAGTTAAGTGCCTTCTGGAATAAGGCATGCTATAAATAAATAAGCCCATACAAAATAGTAAGTGCTTGAAAAGAGTTTATTGAATAAGTGACTACTTGAATGATTCATCTTTCGGTCCCACCCAGGGCCTTGCACAGAGCAGGTGTTCAGGAAATGAGGGGCAAGAAAATGGAGTGAAAAGCGACAGTTTAGAGATGGGGAGACAATAGCCCCGTGATTTCCTAGCAACTAGGACTTTAGCCTCAGTTTCTTCATCCATGAAATGGGGATCATGTCAGCACCCACCTTATCAGAGTTTTGGGAGGACCGAATGAGATTATGGAATGTAAAGTGCTTGGTACATAATAGGCACTTAATAAATGATGGCTGTGATTATTAATAAAAATACACTTATCTATGATGTTATTAGTTAACAGCCTAGCTAATCAGGTGGCAGCATGCGTGAGAATATTCTCTTTCTACTCAAGCCAGTCTAGAGTCTGACAAAGAAGCCACATGTACTTGCTGGGGGAATCAAACAGAAATATGTCGTAGGAAGCCCTTGACTTCCTCACCTCTCTGTGCCCGGTCTGCTCACCACACCAGGGCAACTCTAGTTACAGTGCTGCCAGCTGGAGCTTCCTGTCTGAGTCCACGGCTGCTCCATTACTCTCCTCCCACTAGGTGCAGGTGCTGAAGGACCCTGACCTGCTTCCCCATTACTCAACCCTAACCCTGGGCATCCTTTTTCTGGCAGCCTCTGGCAGTTTTCTCCATGCTTTCCAGCTCCTTCCCTAGCCCTGCCTGGTCCCTCTCCTGGCGATCACATAGGGGAACAAATTCATCATGAGTGGTGAGTTGCCTCATTGCTTGATGGATGCACCCACATTTTAGGAAGTTTGTGGCCTGTGGCATTCAGGAGGAGCACTCGGGACTGAATGTAGTGTCTGGGGGTGGGGCATTCCTCTGAGGGTGGGACATCAGCATGACAGTCAGGAATGGAACCCTCTGATACCTGTATGGGCAAGGCAATTCATCATAGATCCTTGGCATGGAAAGTGCCCCATGGTTAATTTATGGTCTGCCGAGGTGCTGAAAGTTTATTCAGAGGGGGCACCGTTGTGTAGGGCAGAGGTTCCCCAAGTGTGGTCACGGACCAAGAGCATCAGCATCAGCTGGGAGCATTCGATAAATGCAAGTTCTCCAGCCCCACCCAGGAACTATAGACTAAAACGAGTTGAGGGGGTGGTGGTGGTGGAGCTGGGGGTGGGCCCAGCAGGGTGTTTCAGCAAGCCCTTGGGGTGATTTGGATGCGCAGCCAGTTTGCTGACCACTGGAGTAGTGGGAAAGGCGAAGCCTGGGTTCTAGTTCTGGGGAACCCAGCTACCTCATCTGTAAACAGGGACGATGCTATGGTGGTGAGCTTCTGTAAGGGACATGAGATGAATGTGAGAATCGTGCCTGGAATATGGTTGGTACTCAGCATCCCCTTACCCAGTCATTCATCAAACCAACTTTTGAAGGTCAGCTGTGACCTGATACAGTTCTGTGATCCCTACAGAATCAGTCATGGACTCCACGACAAAGGGCTCCATCACAAAGGAGAAATAAGATAAAGTTAAGGGAAACCTGGTCGGAAAGGTTGGTTGGGGCCCTGGAGCCAATCTTAGGACTTTTAATTTTAAATGTTATTACTTTTCTACAACAAAGCGATGGGATTCTTGTGATTCCAGTGGCCCCTGGGTCCACCTGGATTCTTCTCTTCAGGCTGGTTCCCAGAGTACGTAGGGGCTGTTGGAGAAGTGGCTGAGGGCCAGCAATGCAATGCCCAATCCACCTTGTCCAGCAGGCGCTCCCTCCCCTCACTGGCCTTGGCCATGCCCCTGTGGAAGGCAGCTGTGGAAAGAAGCGGACGTAGGTCCCCTCTTATTGCTGGGAGGCCCCGGCTGCCTGGGGCGGGCCTGGCACAGTCCAGGAAAAGGTGCTGGGAATACAGGCCAGCTCACTGTACTCCATATGTTGTGAGTGCTGGGTGGCCTGGGCTCGACTCCAGGGGACTGACCCCCGGCAACCAGCCACTCCCCTTCTAGGCCCTGGCCACCCCTCACTGAGGGAAGGCTCAAATATTTGTGTTCATTTATTGCCTGTGTCCCCCACCACCCTGTGCACTCAGATGCTGACCGCTGATTACCACAACTAGCATGGTAGCTGTCAGGAGGATTTGCCAAGCGAACACCCCATAAACGACTGATAGAAGGCTTTAGGGATTCTCTCCCTTAAATAAACTCAGCACAGAATCCGCTGGAACATCAGCTTCAGGGAACGTTCCCGGGAACCTCTGTGTGTCAAATCTTACACTGTAATAACAGCCAGGGACTTGGTTATCCAGCTTCACCCATGGTGACCGTTGGGCTCAGAGTTGGTAAAGTGACTGGTCTAAGGTCACACAGCTAGAAAGAGTGGGTCGGGCTCTGAAATGGAGTTAAAGGACTCCAGGTCCAGTGCCCTTTCTAGTCAAGCTTCAGAGGGAAGGGAGCCCTGCTGGAGTTTTAATGTGGCCTGGCCTCCTGGGGTTTGCTCCGTGTATCCCAGAGTCACTGACTCGTAAGGTAAGGAACTGACTCTTTAAGTAAAAAAGGCATAGAAACATCCAGTGAGATCCTTTTTTCCAGCTTCATGGATGTATAATCGATAAATAAAGTTGTCAGTTTTTGAGTTTTCAAATTTAAGGGAGAATAATTTGTGATTTTCGCGTGGTGTTTATGTGATAGCTATAATGCCGTGATTGCTTGATCAACAGGCTCTTTGGGTGAAATCCTAGAAACTCTCCAGTTAAAATGAAGAACCCAATAAGGATGTCTGTTACTATTATTTAACATTGATCTGAAAGTTTTAGCCATTGCAGTAAGATGTGAGGCAAGCAGTGGGAGAAAGACACTCCTACTTTTTAAGGACTCTGAAATTGGAGTTTATAGTAAATATCTTATTTAATACTTCTATACCTCAATAAGTAGACATGTTATATATTAGTAATATATTTTTATTATATGTTAGTATCGTTTCTATTTTTTACTTCTAAAGAAGTGAAATGTCAGGTGTTTGGTGCACTTAAAATAGGGCTTTATTGGAAGATAAATTAGTAAATGTTTTAAATCATTGTCTCATCCTGCTGTAAACAGCCCAAAGGGTCACACACAGGAGATGTAGGATGTCCCCAACCCCATCCCATGCTGGTTCCAGCAGATGAAACCGCCTTCAATGCCTCTGTGCTCCAGCCCAACTTACCTCTCTGCCTTCTGCTCCATGGTTCTAACTCAAAGCCAAGGCTGCTTTCCATCTCCGTGATTTTACTTTCCCCCACACCCTTATCTTCTGCATCTCAAACTACTTTAAGGCCAAGTTTAAATGCCACCTCTTCCATGAAGCCCTCCCTGCTTCACCCAACGGATCTGGAATCCTGTTTTCTCTGAGCTTCTCTTACGTGTCGGTTTCAATGATCTACTTAGGGATCGGTTTCCCCCACTCAACTAAGAGTTTCTTGAGGGTAGGGCGCACATTTTACCTCCCCCTGCCTAGGGTCTGGCACAGGTCTCAGTAAAGCTTTACTGAAAGAATGGCCGCCTCTCACAGTGTTTAAAGAGAGTCTGTGTCTCTTCCCATCAGGAAAAAGCCACTGAAGGTGTAGAGTAATAGCTGTCCCGAGCAGCAGCTTGTCCTGCAAACCCCTTCTTACCACAGCACTCAATGACTGGGGATGAGGATGTTATTGCCAGAACACCAGCTCTGAGGTAGAAGTCCCATAACGTTTGAGGCTAGACCTTCCCTTATTATTCACACTCATCGAGGAAGCAAGTTGGTCTCCACTAGTGAGAGGCTGTCAGCAGTGGGGACAAGAAAAAGGAGCCCTGACAGGTTCGTAGTCCCTCCTGCATGGCAAAATGCCATCATACTACAAAGCACTAGTGCTTCATTACTGTGTTTGGGCCTCGAGAAACCCCGTATATATCCCCGTTTTCAAATGAAGAGGCTGAGGCAGGATGGGGTACCAGCTGTAGACTCAGGTTGGATCTGGGTTTTCTGATGCATCGAGCCCACTGAGCTGTGCTGCTCCCTCGCCTCTTTTGGAAGGACTTTCTCAGGGAGAACAGGCAGGGCTGCCGGCCCATTTCACCGAGCCAACCCTGAAGGTGTGAGCAGTGCCATCGATCACAGCGGAGGAAGAGTAAGCTGCAGGGAAGGCTGGGCGCCTGCCCGAGAGCTCCGAGCGGTAGCATGAAGCTTTGGGGTCTCTGGGAAGCCGGGCAAGGGTCTGAGTAGGAATTGGTTGTGTGAGGCCTCCAAGGTGAGAAGATAAACACAGGCCACAGCCAGGCCATGCGAGGTAGGTCTCTAGTCTCTCCTGGCAGTATCTCCTGTGAGGTCCATGGAACCCAGGGAAGGAAGTGGGCTGGGGCGGCTCCCCCCATTACAGAGAGGAGAAGACTGAGACCGAGGGGGATGTCCCTGCCAGCGCACCGGCCCCGGACGTCACCTGCAAGGCTGGCAGCGCCACTGAGAACGTGGCAATGGTCTTTTCCAACGTGGCTCAGTGACGACCAACTCCTACAACCACACGCTTCATGAAAACTTCGAAAGAGATTTAAAAAAAAATTCTTTGATTTTATGCATATTTAAAAAAAACAACTTCTGCTAGTGGCTCAGAGGCCCTGATAAGTCAACGAGAGAAGTGAACACCTCGGTTGATCAGGTGACATGGGATTCTAGAAAGCAAGGAAGGCGTTGGGACCCCAGGCAGGGAGTGGCGAGTTTATGCTTCCCTTTCTTCGTGCTCCTTCTGGATACCCCCGGGAGCTCAGTGGCCTGCTTTCGCCTGGAGGAGGCGAAGGGGAGTTCCGCCGGAAGGCACAGGACGCAGGGCATGTGTGTGCCGCTGCATCTGGGGGAAGCCGAGCTGCCAGGCCTGGGTGGCAGGTGCTGTGTGGGCCAGCTCAGCCCACCTGGTGCTACTAAAGGTGAGTGAGGAACGTGGAGGGCATAAGGAACCTGGATGTTTCCAGAATCCCTGCAGCCCTGGGCCAGAAAGCCTAGACTCAGAGACTTTCTGGGCTAGAAGTAACCTTGAAGGTCTTCAAATCCATCCCCCAATTTGATGCCTTCCTCTACCCCAGCACAGTCCTCGGACTTTGCTTGTTCACTCTAAGAGATGGGGACTCAGTCCACGCCTGGACAGACTGAGTTCACGTTGGCACCCTGTCCCTTTTACCCCCTGGGTCTGATCTTGGGCAGGAAGACAGCAAGCACGTTTCCAGGTCTTCATGGTGGCCCTACAGAGACCGTCCCATGCTCAGGTCTCACACCTCCAGCTCACCATCCTTGCCCCAGGCCTGGTCCCCATTCCCTCCCCATCTTGGTCACAGTCCACCTCGCATTCAGGGCTGGAGTGGCTCCCGGGCCTCCAGTGTTGCATGGTCAGTGCAGAGGGAACAGTCCTGCCACCAACCTCCTTCTGGATCCTCTGCCTTTGTGGGCTTAGCCCAAGGTTCTGCCACTCTAAGCTGATGGCCGCTACAGCCAGTCTGTCGGCCCTGCTCAGGTCACGCCATCGGTGTGCCCTGGGGCCTTGTGCACCAAGGGCAGGCCCTTGGGCACTTTGTTACTCCCCTAGCCTAGGCTGGTGCTCCCTCAGGACGCGGGTGCGGCCCACGTGGCCCTGCCCGCCCTAAGCACTCGTTTCCACAATGCACTTGAGGAACATGGTGTCATCCTTCACGTAGGCATGCTTGGGTGACTGCAGCCTGCTGAGAGGGAAGAAGAGTGGGCAGCCACTGGCCACATTGGTTTCACTCTGGGGCCGCTGGAAGGATGCAGAGCTCAGGTCGGGCCGGAAGGCATCAATGGCGTGTTCACGGTTGTTCTGGTCCAGCAGCATGAAGGTGACCTGCAGGGCAAGGACATGGTGGAGGTCAGGCCCTGGGCAGCGCACCGAGCTCTGTGTCTGCCACCTGTGTAGCCCCTTGACCCTGAGCTCAGGCTGGTTAAGAGTCAAAGAAACAATGTCAGGACCATGCCTGGTTGTCCTGTGATTAGGAATCAGCCATGGATAGGAATCTATCCTACAGGAAGGGGGAATTTGGATGCGACCATCGGTTTTGCTGGCTGTTGCGAGCTAAAACTGTGACTAAGCACTGACGAGGAAGACGCACTCATAACCTGTAATGCCCTTTCCTGCTCTGAGATGTTTGATCATCAACTATGCTGAAACCTCCTGGGCAAGGTGCGGGGGCAGGAACAGATAGGCTTTCTGCTGAGGGGCTGTCAGTCAACCCCCGGAAACGTAAATGGAACTCTGTCTGCACAGGGCAGATATGTGTGCCTCTAAGAAGCTAACGATTTCAGTGACACAAACCCTCTCCCCCGGCATATGTCACTGGAATGCCCATCAGGGCATGAAACAGCTTCTCATCGCCCACCACCGCAGCAGTTCTCGAACTCGGCTGCACTTGGAATTCCCTGGGAAAGTTTAAAAAATACCGATGCTCAGGCGTCACCATTCACTGTCGTGTGACCTAGTCACTGGTCATTTTAAAATCTCCCCAGCAGGTATGGAAACCACTGACCTACTGACTCATATCCAGACCACGTGGCACTTCCGCCCTTTCAAACATTTTTAATAGACTTCATTTTTTAGAGCAGTTTTAAGTGTACAACAAAACTGAATGGAAGAGATAGAGATTTCCCGTAGACCCCGCCCTCACACAACCTTCCATGCTGCCGCCTCATGGGACATGGGTTATAATCGATGACACTACATCCCTAGTTTACGTCAGGGTTCACTCTTGGTGGTGTACCTTCTATGGGTTTGGACATATGTATAATGACACGTACCCATCATTATAGTACCATAGAGAATAGTTTCACGGCCCTAAAAATTCTCTGTTTTCTGCCTATTTATCCCTCCCTCCCCTCAACCTCTGGCAACCACGGATCTTTTTACTGTCTCCATAGTTTTGGCTTTTCCAGAATGTCGTGTAGCTGGAATCATACAGTATTCAGCCTTTTCAGATTGGCTTCTTTCACTCAGCAATATGCATTTAAGTTTCCTCCATATCTTTTGATGGCCTGAGAGCTCATTTCTTTCTGGTGCTGAAAAATATTCCATGGTCTGAATGTACCACCGTTCGTTTACCCATTCGCCTACTGAAGGACAGCTTGGCTCTTCCAACTTTTGGCAACTATAGATAAAGCTGCTATAAATGTGCATGTTTTTGTGTGGATCTAAGTTTTCAACTTATCTGGTTAGTACCAAGGAGTGTGATTGCTGGATCATAGGGTAAGAGCAGTTCAGTTTTTAAGAAACTGTCTTCTAAAGTGTCTGGACCATTTTGCAGTCCCACCAGCAGTGGAGGAGAGTTCCTGTTGCTCCATATCCTCGTCAGCATTTGGTGTTGTCGGTGTTTTGGATTCTGGCGACTCTAATAGGTGTGTAATGGTATCTGCCTCCTTCCTTTTTTCTAAAAATGCGGCCAGTTCAGGCTAACCCGACAGCACCTCCTCCAGGAAGCTTTCCTTATTCACCCCACCATGTGAATTTCATTTCTACATGCCTCCCAGTGGTGTTGATCCAGGCGTTTTTGCCGCTGGACTCATGATGCTGAAGGGAGCCTTGGCTACTAGATGTGAACTCAGGCTCCTGTTTTATAAAAGGGGAAACTGATAATGCAGAGAGGGCATGGGACTTGCCCAGGTCACCCAGACAGTTCACGGCTAAACCAGGACCAGGACCCAGGTTTCCCCCACCCCACCCCTATTGTTTCCCGTGGCCCCGTACCTTGTTCCGAAAAGGCCATGGCAGCAGAGCATCGTACTCCCCTTTCATGATCACGATGAAGAGCGACAGGTGGGTCTTCTTTCCCGTCCCGTCCCCATTCAGGTAGAGCCGGAGGCACAACTTGTAGCCGTACTTGGCAGTGTAGAAAGCTGAAATGTGGAAGCCAGAGTCAGCATAGAGGCAGCTGCAAAGTGCTGGACTTCGCTGATGAAGGAACTGGGGCCCGCGGTTAGGCATGCCCAAGGTCACTGGCTCGAAACTAAGAAATGTGGGGTTGGGACCCAGCATTCTTCTACATTATATACAGTCAAAAAGGACCTGGATCTTGGAGATCATCTAGCCCAGTGGCTGTCAACTGGCCATCGGAATCACAGATTGCCAGGCCAATTACACCACTCCTGGAGTTTCTGACTCAATAGTGCTGGGTGAGGACTGAGAATGTACATGGCTAACAGGGGATGGTGGTGCTGTTGGCTCTGGGACCACATTTTTGATTTAACCAAACTGCATTTTGCAGTTGGGAAGCCAAGCCCTGCGAGGGGGAAGTGGTGGGCCTCAGAGTGTGCTGAGGGCAGAACCAGGATTAGGGGCCAGGCCTCCTACCTCCCAACACTGACTTCTTTCTGCTGCCCTGGGCCAAGTGGCTGGGGACTCTGGGAGAATGGGGGAGAGTGAGGCGGCTCACAGTTCTGCTGGGCGCCCTTGGCAAAGGCTCCTAAGGGATGAATCATCCCCTGGTGACTAAGCACAGGAGCCTGCGGGTTCTTTCTTGGGGCAGCTGAAAGGGCCATGCAGTGTGGGTTCCAATGGCTGTCACCACAAGGGCCCCTCTAAGAGGGGTAAGTAGGGACAGGGTGTGGTGGGGCAGGCAGGAAGGGGTGGAGGAGGGACAGGCTGACAGTCTGATTCATCTCTGTCCCTTACGTCTTCTTGGTGGAATAGGAAGCCAAAGACAATGCTTGCTTTGTGCCTCTCTGCAAAGAAGTGAGGAGGAAAAGCCTGTGAGTTGGCGGTGAGGCCACCCCACGAAGGGGGCTGCCCCTGCTCCTGAGGAAAGGGGCCTGGCTTTGGGACCCGGCCCTGCTGTGTGATATGGAGCAAACTCTGACACCTCTCTTCATCCCTGCCCTGTCGGTCTTGGGTGCATCAGAGGAGCTGATGGACAGGAAAGGTATGAAGTTGGGGCAAAGCCGAGCGGTCGTTCAAAGCATTATCGGCAGAAATCCTCTTTAATGATTACTTAGGTGCACAAGAATGAGGCAAAAGGCAGAGCACACAGGTCTGAGCATTTTGTGCTGAATATACACATTGTTATATGAAGAGATATCAATTAATTAAGGGAAACAGCTACTACGTAACTGCTTTACGCAGGACACTGTGCCCGGCCCTGGGGCCCCAGAAATGAATAAGAACTGCCCTGATTTACACAAGACTCCCCGATGCGCTACCCACGATCATCCGCCTAGTTCTCTGCTTGTCTGATTTCGGACCGCTGAGGGCGGGGTCCCACGGGACTCACCTGTGCGAACTATCCTCTGCTCCCTCTCATTTGCACTTCCTTTCACATCCGACGCCCAAGCAAAGTCAGTAACAATTTTACTCCTATCTGCAGAGTGTGACTAACACTCGGGGAGGTGGACGGCGTGCCCAGTTCAAACAGCACATGCGCTATGGGGCTGAGCCGGGCACCTGCCTTCTCTGCGGTCCCAGCATAGTAGGTGGCCTGAATGGATACTGGCCTAACTGGACACAGCATGGCTGTCATATGGCTGCTCCCCATCCTTGTTTCCTGGGCCCACTGGGGCCTGCCTTCACAGCAGGTCTCCGTGCCCCTAGGGACGTGTTACCTGGGGAGAAGAGGCTGACAGTCCTGCCACAGGCTGATTCATGGCACCGCCTGGTGACATTGGTGATCTTCCACAGGAAGGTGCCATCGAAGGAGGCCTCCTCCATGAGGCGCAGGCTCTGCTCCAGCTTGCCCAGGGCCTGGTCTTTCTGGGCCAGGGTGTGCTGCAACTCCACCACCTGTGGGGAAGCCCATTCAGCCAGGACACGAGCCCCGGCTTGGGGGTGGGGTGGGGACCGTGAGGTATGGAGACGGATCTGCCCCCAAATACTCCTTCCTGACCATGCCTCCCTCAGGCATGTCTATCTGCCTTTGAACACACTGTCCCTCCTGCCTGGAATTCCTTTTCCTTCCTTCTCCGGCTCCTATTCATCCATCAGGAATCGGGCTCACACAGCCCTTCCTCTGGGGGGGCTTCGGCCCCCGGCCTGGCTCAGCCGCTCCTGCTCCCTCTCATTCTGACAGAGCCCTTACAGCAGCTTTATGAAAGCAGTTAGGATCCTGTCTTTCCTGCCTGATAGACGGTCTCCCCTGCCGAGGGCTGGGGAGCTTGTTCTTCCTCCGTGTCCGTGCCTTGCATGGTGCCTGGTGTGTAAGAGTAGAGCTGGGAAGTTTCTTGAACTGAAGATGTGGTTGCTGCCCTCTGAGAGTCCACCTTCTGACTGGGGCAAGGGTCACATACATGAAGGCTTTACTCGGTCACTTGAACCCAGCGCCTGGGTCTTCTATAGATTGATCCTTGGGAGTGCTTGGGTAGGGAAGTCAGGAGTAGAAGTGAGTGTTCTTAAAGAATTTTTTTTTAAAAAAAGAAATTGAATCCCTAAGTTTACTGATGAGAAAGTTGAAGTTCTGACAGGGAAGGTGACTTGCTCAGGCCTATGCGGCATGTTAATGGTGGAGATGCAACTAAAATCCAGGCCTAACTCAACATGAGACAGTGATGTAATGTTGCTGGTAAAAAAAAAAAAAAAAAACAGAAAAGAGAAAAAAGCAGTATTAACACGGTGATTGGTGATATTAAGAAAAGTACAAGCTCTGGAACAAAGGAGGGACGGTCCTGCTCAAACAAAAGCTGTCAGATAAGTGGATTACCTGGAGTTGGTCTGGGACTACCACTCTGAATGTGTGGAATCCTTCTGAGACTGAGCCAGAGCATATAATAACAGCATGAAACTGCGTGCTAGCATGAAAAGGTGAAGGTACTGGGGGCATTTAGCCTAATCACTGGCTGCTTCCATGGGGACTAGAAGGCAGATTTGTTTAGTGGACCCGGAGGAGCAGGGCCAGGAACAATGCAGGGAAGACACAGAGAGGCCAATTTCAGTTTAGTATAAGGAAGAACTTTCTAATAGTGAAGAATGTCCAGCAATGGAGTGAGCTGCTTGGGGAGGGAGTGTCCTATTATAGGAGAAATTCAAGCAAAGGAAATGAAGCACTAGATGGAGGGTGGGGGGTGGGGTTGAACGTGACTGTAATTTATGACTCAGTGTTCCTCCCGGAAGGTCTTGGGACACAGGAGACTTTGATGGAGGTGAGACTGCTCTGAACAGGAAGAATGAACAGGAAAAAGGCTGGTCCACTGGTCAGGAGACAAGGTGGGGCAGAGGGAACCCCCTGAGCCAGGCTTGAAGGTCCCCTTGCCTCCCATGCTCACCCTCTGTTCCAAGCTCAGGATGTGCTCGCGGTCCAGCTGGCTCTGGTGGATGGAGGCGGCCAGGGCCAGGTGGGAGGCCTCTACCTCCTTGTTGAGGACGGCGACAATGTTCTCAAACACACGCAGCTTCCCCTCCAGGTCAGCCAAGAGCTTCTCCTTCATGAAGTGCTGCAGGGCCAGCTCCTCCTGGCTCTCCGAGCAGGGCGCCCGGTAGCAGTCCACCTCCAGGTCACCGGCCACCTCTACGGCCGCCTGCAGCTGCAGGTCGGACAGATTCTGCTCCAGGGCCATGGGCCCGGACCCCAGGCCAGAGCCCAGCCGGGCCTTCCACTGTTTCATGAACTCCAACAGCAGGTTTAGGTGGGTGGCCTGAGAGGTGACCTCATGCTCCTGAATGGACTTTGGGCTCCCCTGCCGAGACATTAGGGCTGGTCAGTGAAAACGAGAAGGTGGAGGGAGTACCAGGGAGCAGTGGAGGGTCTTGCCACCAAAAGTTCCCAGAGAAAGTCAGATCCATTCACCCAGAAAAAGGGAATTTGCTTTGCGTGCAGTGAGAGGGTTCGGAGGAATACCCTGACCTCAGACAGGCCCACCGTGAGCCATGTGCCTCCCAGCTCGACAGCAACAATCCTGCTCTGTCTTTGAGCACAATGATGATTTAGAACCATGGAGAGAGGCATGGCGGGTGGAGGGGTGGTGGTGTCATTTTAGGGATGCTACAATGTTAAGATGAGATCTTAAGAACTTTCCTGAGTATAGAAATGACTTACTAGTAAGAAAGTCATTATTGTAAGGGACATTCAGAGGACTAGCTTGATGTTGTGGGAAAATCCTGGAGGAGCTGAAGTGGGGAGACCCAGTGGTCTAGGGCTGTAGTAGACAGATGTCCTTTCTCACACTCAGATGCTTACCTTGAAGGAGCAGCCAACACCTGCAAAGGGGCACCCAACTCCATCGGCAGCCACCTCAGCGTGATCCTGGAAATAATAACATATCACTGAATGTTTAGGGAGTCCCAGGAACAACCACTGGGGCTCTCTGCAAAGTACCAGGATCCAACAGGGCATAAGCTGGGCTGGGCCACATGATTTTGCACATGCTGTTCCTTCTGCCCGGCTGACTCTTTTCCACCCTTCAAGCTTTGGCCCTTCTGTGACCCTCCTTCAAAACAGGATCAGGGCCCCTGCTGTGATCCTGGGCAGAGCTGCTACTTCTGTCAGGGCACGAGCCACACAGCCCCATCATCACCATTCGTCTCTGGTTGTCCCCACTGGTCTGGAAGTTCTGTGAGGGTCGCGGCTGTGTTTTTGGTGCTAAGGGCAAGGCCTGGCACAGAGGAGACACCTGGGACATGCTGGTTGCACAAGTGAACACCTTCCTTCTCCAGAAGTCCATGGGACACTGTGCACAATTGCCTTCTGCACATTTCCTTGGCAACCCATCCTAGACTGCGGTGTGCCTGCCCTGCTCTGTTCTCCTTCCTGGATAATGCACAGCCTGAGGGCGGGGGCACAGCAGGGTCTCAGTACTCAATAGCACCTTGACATTACCCTTAAGCTATTTATAGGTCGAAGGAGTTTACAAAATGCTTTCAGGGCCCTAATTCTTCCTCGGCCCCTAAGGACACTGTGGGGAAGATAGAGCAGGTTTTTTGTTCTCATTTTACTGATGAAGAAACAGGCTCACGGAGGGGAAGGGATTTGCCCAAGAAGGAACAGTAAGGAAGCAGCATAGCCACAGGGTTCTTCCCACACCGTATCACTACGGTTGATCCCTGAGCAATGTGGGTTTGAACTACACAGGTCCACTTGTGCAAGGATTTTTTTCAATAAGTATCTGTATTATTTTTCATCCGCGGTTGGGAGTCTGTGGATGCAGAGGGCCAACTGTATGCGGTGATCTACGCCATTTTATACAGGGGACTTGGACGTCCGCAGACTTTGGTATCCACAGAAGGTTCTAGAATCAATCCCCATGGATAACGAGGGACAACTTTAGTAGTTAAATTCTGGGAGAGTCAAAGTTATACATGGATTCTCTACGATGTGAGGGATCGGTACCCCTAACCCCTACATTGTTCAAGGGTCAACTGTATCTCTCGTCAAGAGGAAGTCCACGGGAGACCGCGAGAAAATTATTTCCAAAATATCGATCTGGAAACAGCTTGTATTCAGAATATATAAAGAACTCTTACAATTTAGTAATAAGAAGACAAACAACCTAATAAAAATGGATAAAATACTGAACAGATACTTCATAAAAGGGGATGTATAAATGACAAGTCTATGAAAAGATGCTCAACCTCCCTAGTCATCAGAGAAATGCAAACTATAATGTAATACCATAATGAAATACCACTATCTACTCGCTAGATGGCTAAAATTATAAAAGAATGACAATACCGAGTTTTGAAGAGGATGTAGAGGAACTGGAACATATGAATGTTGCTTGTGGGAATGCAAAATAATATAGCCACTTTGGGAAAAAAAAAAAACTATGGAAGTATCTCATGAAGTTAAATCATGCTTACAAAGTGACTTATAAGTTGCTTGTAAGTTACAAACAAACCATGCTTATAAAGTTCTCGTACAAGCCACATATTCTACTCCTAGGAATTTACCCAAGAGAAACTGAAACATATGTTTATGTGTGTATGTGAATGTTCCTGGCAGCTGTATTCATAAAAGCTCCAAACTGGAAGCAACCCAAATATCCATCATCTGGTGAATGGATAAACACATTTTTTTTTTTCCTTCAGAACATTACTCAGCAATCAGAGGGACTAAAAGACTATACGCAATAACATGGAGGAACCTCAAAAACATTATGCTAAATGAAAGAAATCAAACCCATAAGACGACTTACGATGAGTCCATTCTTATGAGATTCTGGTAAAGGCAAAACCACAGTGACAGAGAGCAGACCAGTGGACGTGTGAGGCTGCAGCTGGGAGAGACTAACCAAGGGCACAAGGTGCAGAAAAGAAACATTTGCCATCTTGACTGCAGTGTTCACATGGTTATATAAATTTACTGGCATTCATCAAACTGTGCACTTAAAATGAGTGAATTTTATTGCCTATAAATAATATCTTGATTTTCAAAGAGCTTTGTTGTTGTTTTTTAAAAATAATCTAAGGGGGTAAAATGAAAGGAGATTTGGATAAATAAAAGAGGACGACAGAGGTCTTTAGGGCTGAGCAAATACAAAGCTACACTGGTTATTATTTTTCAAAAGTAAAAGAAGCGAGAGCTTTGGACTTAATGAATACGGTTGGTTTGGGACACAGAACACAGCCCTGCAAAGGACCAACCCCTCTTCGCCACGCCACCCCGGGCTTTAAGCACAAGTTGTTCCCAACGAAGAATGAAAAACAGATGTTTTATCGGGGCTGGGTAGAGGGCAGCCTTGGCAGAGAGACCGAGCTGGCTTTGGGAAGTGTGCAGTGACGCAGCCTCGCCTTGCAGGTAGCTTCCTGACCTGTGGGAACAATGGAGGGCCTGACGCTAGGTGTAGACCTGGTTCCAGGTGAACAGACTAGTGGAACCTCTCAGGCTCTGAAACTCCCTCCAAGTCCATGACACGAACTCTCTGTGGTTCTAAGCTGGAAATGAAAATCATAGGAGGGATGAGATACGAGATTGGAAGTCCAGAATCACCCGCAGGTGGAAGGGCACGTGTTCTTTTGGCAGCTGAGCCTTACTGGTGTGCCGGCACAGGGAAAAGCCCGTTGCTTGGGTGGAAAGTGCTCTATGAATGCTGGGGTCATCTCTGTTGTGTGGATGGGTATGGAACGTGACCAGTCTCCAATGGCTGACAGTCTCCAATGGCAGGAGTGACCCGAGAGGTCTTCAGAGGCCTCAGTGGCCAGCCAGGCTGCCCACAGTCCCGTCATCAGTTAATCAGTCACCAATTCCATAGAGTGCCACAGGCGTTAAGGGGGTGTCTGCCAGCCTGCCAGGGTGCAGAGCCCACTTTGGTCACTTCACATGCTAGCCGGGTGGCCCTGGGAGAGTATTAACTTTTCCATATCTTAACTTTCCTCCTCTGCAAAAAGGGTATAATAGTACCCCGCCCCCCCTTATGGAGTTACGGTGAGGACTAAATGAGATAATACATGGAAATTCTGGTATTAGTTACCTATTGCTGCTATAACAAAATACCACAAACTTAATGGCTTAAAACAACCCAAATTTATTCTTACAGTTCTATAGGTCAGAAGTCCTAATATCAAGGTGTCGGCAGGACTGTGTTCCTTCTGGAGTCTCTAGGGGAGAATCTGTTTCATTTTTTCCAGCTTCTGGAGGCCGTCTGCATTCCTTGGCTCACGGCCCCTTCCACCCGCTTCAAAGCCGGCAGCACAGCATCTTCACATCTCTCTCTGACTCGTTCTTGTCTCCCTCTTATGAGGACCTTTGTGATTACACTAGACTCACCTAGATAATCCAGGTTAGTTTCTCCATCTTAAGATCCTTAATTTAATGACATCTGCAAAGTCCCTTTTGCCATTGTTACGGGCTAAGGTGTATCCTCCCAAATTCATGTGTTGAAACCCTAACCCCCAGAACATGACCGTATTTGGAGATGGGGTCTTTAAGTGGGTAAATACATTAAGATGAGGTCGTCAGCGTGGGCCCAAAAACAATACAACTCGTGTCCTTCTACGAGAATATCTGGACACAGACACACAGAGGGAAGACAACGAGAAGACCAAGGAAGAAGGCGGCACTGGCATCTATAAGCCGAGGAGAGAGGCTTCAGAAGAAATCGATCCTGTCTTGAACTTCTTGCCTCCAGAACTGTGAGAAAATACACTTCTGTTGTTCAAGCCATCCCGTCTGTGGTACTTTGTTACAGCAGCCCAGACAGACTCATGTAAGGCAACGTATACACAGGTTCCAGGGATTAACACGTGGACATCTTTGGGGAACATCATTCTGCCTAATGTAGTGTTCGATAAATGTCAGTCATCATCAGCAGCATGATTGTTAGTGGTGGTGCTATTCCTGGGGATTAAGCACTGCCCTTGGGACATCCTTCTCCTCCCGCAGTGGCTGTCATATACATGCAACATTGAATCCTCACATCTCAGACTCGTAATAATGACTTCTATAAAACCCCATTTTCCCATTGGATTTCCTCAGGTTGGTGAGGAACGTCCCTAACTGTATTTGTATTTTTACAGGACTAAAGCATTTTTGCATGCTATCTCATGGGATGCCAGCAATCATCCCTTGAGGCAGGCAGAGAGCGAGACGACCTTCACCTTCACACAGATGGGAAAACTGGACGACTGGCTTGCTTGAAGCAACACCGGGCTTGTATACTTGAGGAGGTGGCTGAATGAAAAAGCCAAAGCTCAGGGATGAGCAGTGACTGGCAGGAGGCAGTGCGAGTTCGGGGCAGAGGCCAGGTAGACGCCAGGGGCCTGGAGTCCTTGTCCAGGGTCCTTCCTCCACATCAGGGAGCCCTCCCATGACCAAAGGGTAGCCTCGTCTGAAGGCCAGGGGCTGAGGGGACAGGAGAGGGATCCGGGCTGGGGTTACAGAGGAAGGCTGGGACTTCAGTCCTAGGCCAAGCCTGGTGTATGTCTGGTGCCACGAGCGGCCCCGTGAGTGGTCTCATTGCCTCAAGCTGCTAAAAATAAAATCTGCCGTGGATTTTCTTCTGAGGAGGAAACAGAAACGGAGAAAACAAAATCCCAGCCCTGAGGGAACACTTGTCCTTCTGTCTGCGTCCGGGAAGTCTGGGGGTGTGTGGTATTCTCAGCTACCCTGCTTACCCCAGGCCCTTTGTGACAGGCTCAGCAGAGGGTTCCATCGAGAGGCACCCCCACTCAGCGACCTGCAGGCCTCCGAGAATGTGAGCCGAGAACATGAGCATCACCTCTGTGAAGCCACTACACAGAACAGAGGGTCTGTAGTGTGCCAGGCCCTGCCCATACCACTGCGCTGGGCGCACAGACTGCCTGAGGTCCCGGATGCCTGGAGGGGCCATTTCTGCTCAGGTTTCAGCTTGTGCTGAAGGAAAGGTACTCTGCGGCGACAGGGCAGACCCAGTCAGCCTGCCTCTGCCTGCCAGTTCTTGTCCTCCTCTGTGCCTAAGCCAGTTTCCTCTCTGGCGACCTCTGCTCAGCTCAAATGCCACCTCCTGTAAGAAGCCTGCCTGATTCTCCTAGTTGAAAGTAGTTTTGCTCATTTCTGTTTCTCCATAGCACTTGGTGGATTCCAGCACTTAAGGCGGACTATGTTATTTAAGCCTGCATAAAACATCTGGAGGCAGCAGAGGAGAAAATGCCTAGGCGGCAGGAGTTAGAGCCTGGCTTTGAGTCCCTTTGCTATATGACTTTGGTCTAGGCACACCTCCTCACTGAGCCTCGATATAACGCCTAGTGGTGAAATAGAGATATCACCTGTGAGACCGGCTGTCACAGGATCCTGAAGTTACAGATGAGACTGTCAAATTCAGAAGTATAAGGGTTCGGGGGTTCATTTTTAGGCATCACACTTCAAAGGACACAGACATGCATAGAGACTAAGGACAGACTCAAGAGGGATGTGGTCAGCACCTTTCTTCAAATGCAGGACTTCCTCGGGGGACAGGATGCTGACTGACTTGACTTTTGTGGCCTTAGGGGAGACAGACTTCAGCTCAGGACAGAGGAAAACGGTACCCGAGTACCCTCTGGTGCAAGTGGCTGTTTCATGGAGTATTGAGCTCCCCATCACTGGAAGGACGTGCCACCTGGCAGGAATCCCGAACAGAACGGAAATTAGACTAGACAGCTTGACTTCCTATCATTTTCTGATTCTAGAATAAGTTAAGGCATTATTGTAAGCCATTGGCAGCAGATGCCAGTTTGCTTTTGACCTTGAGTGGCCCGAAAGAGAAGAAAGTAATAGAAACAATCCCATTCACAGGGTCGCAGGCAGACAGAGTTGAATGTTATTTTCCAGCCGCCAGCTCCTCTGCTACTTCATTGTCGCTTCTACAGGAAGGCCATTCCAGGCGTGGACCAAGCCTCTAACTAGGTCAACAGTAACCTTTTAGTATCTGCTTCTTATATTACCTAATGGGTCATGACTCTGAGGACTTCTTGGAGAGATAATAATCTAGTGAGGTCAGAGGATGAGGACAGACCGATAAGCAGATGGCATGGACAGTGTTTGCAAGGATGGCTTAGCTCAGCTGGTCTCTGGCCCGGCCTTTCCACCCACTTCCACGGCCCAGGTTTACCCCCAGGTGCACAGACTTCGCAATTACCACATACGAAAGTGTTGACTTATAATCAGCTGCTTTCCTTTAGTCAAAAGTCCCCCAAAGTTCCCTTCAGGGTCAGGAGCTGGAGGAGTCCCAGGTCTTTCCACGATGTGGCTTTGTGGAGGACTCAGACCACTGGCTCACACCGCTCCTCCCAGCTTTCCACTGGGGGTGCGGTGATGCCTACATCAGGCGGGAAACTGGGGGTGAGAACGGAACCCATGCTGCTGAGGGGTCTGCCCACCCCCAAACGCAGGCAGCGATCCTCCCACCCCGTAGCGCCTGCGATTCTACCCTCAGAGCTGCTTCATTTGGTTTAAGGAAGCAAAAGCTGCAAACTGCTCTGCAGGGCCCTAGGCATCCCCAAAGTCCTCAGGGGCTGGGGCGAGAAAAAGAAGTGGGGTAACTAAGAGGACAGGGGTCCAGGCTCCCCTTTAATCAAAGCATTTCCACTGTCATCTGATGTCACATTAACGAAGATGAAAAAATTAAAACTACTGGATTAAGAAATATTAAAATACCTCTTATCTATATTACCCAAGATTTATACAAAAATGTGTATTAATTTTGTTAAGAGGCGAACCTAAAACAAGTTCAAAACAACAGTCCTGGAGCATTCAAGCAGGCGGGGCCTCAGGGAGCATCTAGCCCGTGCCTTTCCTTGTGCAGGTGGAGCACGCGGCTCAGAGTTATGAGTCTGTGCGGCTCACATCTCATGGTTAGTCCATGAAGATGCCCAAACAGGGAGGCTCAGAAAGTTATTCCATGGATCAGGTTATGCCATTAGCTCTCACCACGCTGCGGAGTGTAAAGTTCTAGGAAATACACTGGATCCTTACTACTATTCCCTTGAGGGCCTACAGGGGAGGATTGATGAGGGGATGGGAGAGCCCTCAAAATCAACCCTGTGTGGGGCAGGAAATCCCTCCAAGTCTCTGAAGGAGAGGAGCTAGAGCAGAGAAGGGAGAAGGAGGTGGAGGCTTGTCAGCCTCTGGTTCCCATGGGTGGGAGGGAGAGCCGCCCTGCCAGCCATTGACCGGTAATCTGGACATCGCAGGTCCTGGAAAGGCCTGGAAGAGCCAACTTAGCTTCTTCATTTTACAGACAAAGAAACAGGCACAGGAGTCATCTCTGCCACGCAATGAATTATACAGAGCCATCCCTGGACACTGGACACCAAGCTCCTGACCCCTGGGCTGTGGCAAGGGAGAGCTCTGGCTACAAGGAGCCAGGTGCCTCACAGTGAGGGCAGTGAGGGTGGCTGAGCAGTGAGACCCTGGTCACTGGAAAGTCATACACTGAGATCTCCCAGCGAGCATCAGGGAACACATGTGACATGAAGGGCGTAGATTTAGAGCAGTGATTCTTACAGCTTTAGATTCATGGATCGATATGCATTTTTTTTTTTTTTAAATTGGGAGATTAACACAATGATTGCTCTCTTTTAATTTTACCAAGTAAAGGCCTTATCAAAAATTCTACCATTTACTACCACTATCATTTCATTCATACGGAGAGCACAATCTCAGGGTGAAGGTTGATTGTATAAATGGAAAGAACTTGGCTTTATAAAAAAAAGTCATTACAATTTTCTTGTTTTTATCATCATTTTATCGTGAACCAGTGGGAATGGACCAGTTCCGGTCAGCATGTGGAAATCCCTGGGCTCTACAGGGGCCTTCCAACACAAAGGTCCGGGGTTCTATGCCACGAGGCCTAGAGGACGTCTCTTTGGTCTTTCACACTTTCAAAGCTTTCTCTTATTCCTAGGTAGGACACAGCTTGGCAGAGCCTGATATGGGAGCCATTGCCTCTTCCTGTCTGAGGGCAAACAGGGACAGGAAGAACTATCTAGATCAAGAGTCAGCTAACTTTTTCTGCAAAGGGTCAGATAGGAAATAGTTTGGGCTTTGAATCCTCTGTTCCAACTAAAGCAGCTGTACACAATGCATAAATGAATGGACGTGGCCATGTATCGATACGATTTTATTTGTGGACACAGAAGTTTGAATTTCATATAATTTTCATGTGTCACAAAATATAATTCTTAATTTTTATAAGCATGTAAAATATAAAAAAAAACATTCTTAGCTCGTGGGCTGTAAGAAAACAGGTGGCAGGCTGGATCTGGCCCACAGGCCATAGTTTGTAGACCCCCGGTCTAAACTGTTGTTCTCACAGATCAGCCAGGTGGCTTTGGGCAAGTTGCTTCACAAATGTGTTGTCAGTCTCCTTACTGCTTACAAACCAAATTCAGTCTAGACTCAAGACAAGGAGGAAGGTACCTGCCAAGGGCTGTGCAAACAGCTGCCTAAGTAGTCTCAACCTTGACAAATGAAGAAAAAAGACAAATGTCCTTTCCTGGCTATGCCAACGTACCTTCTCCTGAGACAGAAGGCTTCCTGGGCTTACAGATTGGGGGTCGTGTCCTCTGCATTTGGGACAGATGCGATCCTCGCCGTTCCTGGGGACAGGTGAACACATTTGGCTGAGTGAGGCATTCCCAACTCCTTGGTACCAACCTCCATCCTGATAGCTCCAAAAGCCTTGCCCAGGTGATATCAATGAGTAAGCAGGCCCATAATCCCAGACTGACCATTCCCAAACCTTAAAAAGCATTGGCACTTGAGGTCTTCCTGTAGTTTGGAGTGAGCTTCTTTGGCAGCCAAACCTGACCCTGAGTGACTGGAGGCTATTATAGCCCTTCCTTATCCCACTGGGTAGGAATATTTATGTTTCATTGCAGAAATATTAATAGGCTCGGTTATAAGGTGCTGCCCCATCCTCACTGGAAGAATTGCATAGTAATGCACTGTTTTGCTTTTCTAAAATCTGAAAAAGTTCTGCATTCCAAAATGTGTCTGAGCCGGAGTTCAGGCAAGAGATTGTGGATGTGTGGCTATATTTGCTCTTCTCAGCTTCCTCTATTTGGTTTTGGTCTCTTAGTTTTAGTAATTACAGAGGACTATGGCCAATTAGGATAAGAAGGAGCCTCAGAGAACACCTAGCCTGAGGTTCTTAACCAGGAGTATCAGACTCTGACCAGGTGACACAGGGGCTTTTACAAAGCTCCCAAGGGATTCTGATCCACAGGCAGAGCCACTGATCAGGCCTGTTTTACAGAGAAAACAAATGAGGCCTCAGAGGATGTATGGATTGGCCAAGGGTAGAGGTGGTCAGGGGCAGAGCTGGACCGGGCTCTCCGCACCTCAGGCTTGGGCCTGTTCAACATCCAGTCAGCTCCTTACCCAGCTCTGCCAGGTTTTGGAAAAATGGGAGGGGAGCCAAGAGGCCCAGTGCAAAAGCCTGAGTGAGATAGTCCAGAACTACCAGCCACGCTCTGACCACCCCACTCCCACAACCTGGCCTTTCCACCTCAACCTCTCCCCTCCCCCTCACAGCCTCCCCCTGCGTCAAAGCATTTGAATTTCTCAAACGGGCCTGATTCAGTTTCCCCATCTTAAGCTGTAAAGCCCCACACAAAGGTCATGCTGGGGGTGCATGGCAGTTAAAGAGCACATTTGCCAGGAATTGGGCCTGAGGCAAGCTGACCTAATCTCTCCATTAGGCCTCACTGTCCTCATCTGTAAAATGGGATAATAAGAGGATCCACGTTTCCAAAGCTCTCCTGAAGACCAAAGGAAAGAGGGCTTGGCATACAGTAGGCACGTAATAGTTGCTTGTGGTGGGATGCTGATGATTGCATTGATGTCACATCTCTCTGCATTATTTATATGTTAAATATACACATATTTTTTGTATTATATAGGATGCATATATGTAGATTTTTATATATGTAAAATATGTATATTTATATAAGTACATATTTATATATAATATATACATATTCATATTACTTATACATATATAAGTATATCACCTATAAATACATACATATATAAACATATGTCTTTGTTCCCTTTAAAAGTGTTCTCAGCAAACAGTACAAGGTGATGGGTGATATTGCGGAAGGAGATGTAGATGTATCTGTATAGCAGTTCATCATTTACTAAGGAAGTTTACATTCATCATTACAAGGACTTTTTGGAACATTATTGATTGGGCCTCGTAATAATCCTGGGAGGTAGAAAATAGCTTTACAGGCATTTTACAAACAAAGAAGCCAAACTTTGCACCCAGCCACACACTAAGTAAAGAGCTCAGCTAAGCCTGAGGCTCTGCTTCACCCTGGACAGCCTTCAGCTGTGGCAGCTGACATCTGTCTGGGGCTACTTCTCCTTCCAGCAATAGTCAGGAGGGACAGTGTCAGGGACTGCAAGAAAAGGGTGTGGAAACTAAGGCCCAGAGAGGGGAAGTCACCTGCCCAAAGCCACCGGTTCCTCTCACCCTTGCCTCCCATCAGGGGTCCCTCCCTGGCACCTTCTTCATACCCGCCCTTTGCTCCTCGACCCCTCACCTCACGTTCTCAGAGAGACAGGCAGTGCAGCAGAGGGCCCTGGGCTCTGATGGGTCCTGGCAGACGGTGGGGGGACATCCAAAGGGAAACTCGTTCTCATCGGGGGCTGGGCGGGGGCTGCTGGCTGAGCCAGAAGCCATCCTGGGGTCCGACTAAGCTCCTCTGGGGAGGGGACCAGACCCGTGGAGTCTGTGCTGAGAGAAGAGATGAATTCTGGTGTGGGCTCCCCTCTCCTCCCCTCCGTGAGCAGGAGTCTGATGACTTTATCTTCTCACTGGCTTGTGTGGTTCAACGTCACAGCTGAGTCACAGCAGGATGGGGCAGGAATTACCCTTTGTGGTGAAAAAAATCCCCTGGACGCTGATTGAAGGCTCTAGGAGTGTCCATTCTTCAGAGTGAGAGAGAGAAAGAGAGCGAGTCAGAGAGAAAAACACAACTGTGTCACGGACTTTTAGGAACCAGCGAGTTCCCCTCTCGGAGAACCTCAGGCTGCCATTGGCTTCCTCTACCTCCTCCCCTGAGGGACATCAGCAGAGAGACACCAGCTGTGGTGACTTGTCTATGTTCTCTGAGACTTTGGAGAAGCCTGGAATTCCAGTGGGAGTGCTCACCACCCAGGTGGAAATCCCCAGGGTCCTGATGGCAGGTCCAAAAATGCAAGTTCCAGGAGCTTTAGCTCTGTCCAGCGTCTCAGGTAAAAGTCACTTCCGCAGAGTGGTTCTTGGTTACCCCATCTGAAAAAAAAGAGAAGCAACAGGTGGTCCTCAGGGCTCCTCTCATCTCTGAGATTCTGGGACCCATGAGTAAGGCAACCAGAGGCAGCAAGAGGACTCTGATGGTGCAGCCCTGCCCGTGGCATTCTTCATCAGTCAGGATGACAACACAGGGCCCTCCCCTCCTTTCAAGTCCAAGTCCTCAGAACCATACACGGCTCAGGGCCCTCCTCCCATGGCCCCACTCAGGAAGTCATAGGTGGCCACATACCCGCATCAGGCACCACTACTTCTCAGCCCTGATCAGAACAAAGCTCAAAACAAACACAAAGCCACAGAGAGTTATTCTCAAAGGCCAAGTGAGACACAGATCCACCGTTGTGTGGGAACTACGGCTCCTGGTGCATCCACCATAATGCTGGGCAACATTTTCCTTCCTATTCCTTAGAGCAGCCCACTGGGAATTCTGGGGCTGTGTATAGGTGCAGAGAAGCAAGACCTCTGGTCCGAAGTCACACAGCCCCTGGTAGTGGAGCAGGATTTGCACTAAGTCTGTGGGACTCCATACTCTGTGTGTCTCCACCCATACAAGAGACAAAAGCAAGCCCGCATGGGGAAGTCTACAGAGGCTAGGAAGGAGGCCAGAGCTTCGTTTTCTCACCTATCAAAAGGAAAAGATGACCCCTTCACATCGATCATGCTGGGCTGTTACTAGGGTTTTATAAACTTTCATAGTGGTTTCAAATCATGGGCTTTGAGGTCTGTCAGATTTGAGCTGGGACCCTAAATAGTGGACATTTACTAGCTCTGCATCGTGGCACAAGGTCTTTAACTTCTCTGAACATCAGTTTCTGCATCTGTAAAATGGAGCTAATAATAATACCTACTTCATCTGACTGCTGTGATGACTAAATGAGGTCGTGGCAAGGTGCACAGCCCAAGTGAGGTGCTTGAAAGGCTCTGACATTGTATTCTGATGATGGCCACAGCCCTTCCAGCTCCAGATCAGAGGAAAGGATTTAAATGGTAAAGTACGCTTATATAGCGTTCTCGCAACCATCAACTTTGCTTGAGCTTCACAAGTGGGCAAAGCAGGTCAGATGTTGTCCTCTGACCCCAGATAAATTCAAATGCCCACCTTCCCTGAAGCAATAGCGGGGCTGCCAGGGACTGCTGGCAAAGAGAGCAGGGTACCATGGCACTGCAGTGTAAATCAGGACCTCTACCCTCACCTGGGCCAGCCCTGGCTTGGCCCTGTCAGCAAATGACCTTGAGGCCTACTTCAGAGAAAAGTTTATCAGAAAGGCACTCCCTTAACTGCATCCCCCAAACACGCAAACTTCTCTGCAGCCCCCCATCTGTTTCCTCCTTCCCTTGGTTTGGCACCAACAGGCACCCAAGACTTCTCTCTCCACCCAAGACCTCGTTTCTCCCTAGTCCCTTTCCTCTCGCCTCTGTCTTGGATGCCTCCCTCTCTACCAGCTCCTTCCCGTTAGCATGAAAATATGCCTGAGCTGCTCAGACAATAAAAGTGAAAAATAATAGGTACTCCTTTTAGTGCTGCGTTTAGTACTTCTATAGGCACCACCTCATCTAACCCTATGAAGCAGGTATCATCATTATTCCTGTTTTACAGATGAGGGAACTGAGGCACAAGAGGTTCCTTGCCTTGCTCAAGAGGAGCGGGGATTCCAGAACCCAGAGACTGTTCCTAACCACGCATCGCTTTAGAGCGCTCTTCACCCTCATCCCAAACTCCTCTTCCATCTACACGCCTTCCTCACTTTAACAAAACTTCTGGAAAAGATTGTCTACATGGGCGCTCCGATTCCTCGCTTGAATCTCCAGAAACATGCCCCAGAGATTCTCAGTGTCCGAGTCGCCACACGCCCAGAGTCTGTCCCAGTTTCTATCCAACTAGTCCTCCGGCCAGGACCTAACAAGACTCTTGGCCCCTCCTTTCGCAACCTTTGCCCCTCCTGGGCTTCCCGCACCCCTTCTGTAAACGCCCCACCCCCAGCCCTCCCACTTCCCTGGCTGCTCCTTATCGTCTCCTTGACCCCTTTCTCCTCCACGCTGAACCTCCACCGCTCCCATCTCCGTGTCTCACCCGTGGGGACCTGCACACGTGGAGTCTCTCTGCATCGCGCACCCCACATCTCTCTGGCCTTCTATTTGCTTTCGGGCGTACCTGGACCAGACCCCACTTCCCCTGGGAGTCTCCGTAGGCCGCCCCAGGGTTGGGTTGGGCGCCCGCCTTTGAGATCCCCTGCGTCCCCCAGCACCAGCCCAGCCCCCTGCCTCCCCGCTCGGTGATGTCGGGTTGCCTGTGTGACCCCCCAGCCCCGTTCGTGCACCCCGCCCCCTGAAGGCAGGTGACCGTGGTCTAGCTACCGCCGCTTGTCCAGCGGCGTGCGCAGAGCAGCGCCCGCGACTATTCGAGGATGAGCGAACCCCAGGGGTGCCCCGGGCGCCTGCGGGAAGGACTTGGCAGTGGGTCTCGGGTGGGTTCTGCAGCCCGGATTCCAGGTCCCCGCCGTGCGCAGCGAGGCCTGCACTTGGCGAGCCCTCCAGCGAGCTGGAGCTGGGGACTCCGGGGACAAAGTTGGGGGAAATTTTATATATAGTTGACCTATACATACAAGCATAGTTTAAAAGGGAATATATAAAAGTCTAACTATAGCATCTTTTAAAAAAAATTTATTTGATTAAAGTATACAGTACATTGGTTAGACATTATTATATAGTTTATAAAATGATACCCCTAATTGTTCCTTCTCTCCTTTGCTTTTCTTCCTAG